CTTATTTTTAAATGTAGTCTGAAACCACTTCTGTTCTTGACACGTCCGTTATGACCACCTCTCGATCGATTTTCTCGACACCTGGGTTCCAAGCACATCTAATTTTTTTTTGTCAACTTATAGACGGATATACTATTCTACACGGATCTCCGAAGGACCGAAAAAACAGGCCGATTTCCAGTTAACGGCCATGAGTCTATTGTCGATACGGCCAAAGGTGGACTGCCTTTATAGCGGATCTATAAGAGCACTCTGTTCTCTAAAGTGGAAGGTCAACTTACTGGGAAAATTCCAGCAGTACAATCGCGGTAATTCCACAGAAAATTTTTTAAGACGATATTGCTTTATTAAATTTGTCGGACTAAAGAGTGCTGTGACGTAGCTAGGTTCGATTATTGATTCGAACAACAACCAAAAAAAAAGCTTATTTTCTAGTAGCCCTCGCCCTTTAGAACGCAATAGCAAAAAGTTTGCGCCCAAATATATTTTAATGTTTATAGAGCGCTGCTGTTACATATATCTGTTAGGAAATTTTTGAAAATAAATTTTCGACAAACCTTAAAAGCCGGACATAAGTGTCTGTTAGCATTTAAAATCTTAATATAAAGCAGATTGTTTATATTCGAACTAATAAATGCTAATTATACGGAGCTATTCTATTTTGGCGAATGGCTGTCTACATAGTTAAACTTGTACGTCACACCAAATAATCATATTTTCATTTGCTGTTTTATAATGAATTTTTATATGTATTCAAAATATTCGAATTAAATACATACCTATAATTAACAGATTAAAGAACAATCTGTTGTTTTGCGCTAATCGGGTTTCTTTATTATTTGTTAAAATCTATGGCACTTCAATTGAGAGGTTCTTCATTTTTGAGGAAAATTTTTAAAACTAACTTAGGTATCAGAAAATTCCACCTCATTAACCTAAATTGCCGGTTTTTTTGTCATAAAAATATAGGTGAGATCATCGGGTCTTAATTATTTCACGTAAAAATTAATCGAGCACGCAGCAGAACCATGATTCTTAAATATTTAGTTTCCAGACATGTCTGATGTTGAAATAAATTTCCGTTCATGATTGCAACAAATGATTTTGTCAAATTGTAAGCTCTCGAAGACGACCTTATTTATGTATGTACGAGTGCATATACATACAGTGTCGAACAAAAGTATTGGCACAGTGAATTTTTCGCCATATATGCAAAGTTTTTTTTTCTAATTTATTTTCGATAATTTTTTATAAAAATTTAGTTCATTTTACAGCAGAAAATTCATTCAATTTGCACACTAATTTGCAACTTTTTATTCAGATTTTGTAGAAAAAGTGTAATTATGCAGTTTTATAATCCATTCAATTTTAGTATGACAAAATGCGAGTTTAAAGTTCTTAGGAAATCGCGTTGATTTTTGGCAAATTTTTTAGTGGAAGGTGTTGCTCATTTTCTCCATACAAAAAATAATTGTCGAATTACTTTGTATGGAAGAATTTGCGTGAAAAAAATTACCAAAAATCAATGCGATTTTCTGGCTACTTTAAACTTGCACTTTGATATAATAAAAATGGATGGGCTATAAAACTGCATACTTAGAATTTTTCTAAAGAATCTGAATCTGAAAAAGTTGCAAATTAGTGTGCAAATTTAAATAATTTTCCTGAGTTTTGCACAATGTTTAGAGATTTTGTTATTATGATTTCTGGTGTAGAATGAACAATATTTTTATAAAAAATTATCGAAAATAAATTAGAATAAAAAACTTTGCATATATTGCGAAAAATTCACCGTGCCAATACTTCTGTTCGGCACTGTATGTACATATGTACATACTATGTATGCATGTATATCGAGCCCTATTTTCGATTTTATCGTAAAGGCAATGTCACACGATTGGGCACAGTAATAAAACACTGGATGGCTTTGTAATAGTTAGCTCGTATTTTTGTTTGTTTTATGACCTACTAAAGTTTTCATGTATATAAGGGCAAAGGTGAAGGGAAATATGTAGATGAAGAAAATGATAAACACAAAATTGAAATCAAAGTTAAATATAACGAAAAAGATGAGGATGAGGATACCGATAAAAGTAAACATCAAGATAGAGGAAGAAAGATTAAAATAAAGGTAATTATAGAGAAAAGGATATAGATAGAGACACATAGACTCAATCTGAGAATTATTTTGGGAATTTCAGGATTCTCGGGACATATCGATATAACAATCGATATTTTTATCGGTTTTGTTATCGATACTTTTTTCTATTTTGTTATCGATATTGTTATCGATTTTGCCATCGATATTTTCGGAACTTATCGATATAAAAAGCGATATTTTTATCGATTTTGTAATGATATTTTTAAAGATTTTCATATCGATATCCTTTATCGATATTGTTATCGGTTTTGTTAACGATGTTGTTATTGATTTTTTTACCGAATTTGTTATCGATATTTTTATAATTTTTTTTATCGATATTGTTGTCGCTGTTGTTATCGATTATTTATCGATTTTGTTTCGATATTTTTATCGATTTTTTTGATCGATACATTTATCGATTTTGTTATCGATATTTTTATCGACTTTGTTATCGCTGTTAGTACCGATTTTTTATAGATATTTTTGTTGATTTTCTAATCGATTTTGCTACCAAATATTATTATCGATTTTTATCGATTTTGCTATTGAGATTTGTATCAAACTTGACGTCGGTTTATCGATCTTTTATAAATTTTATTATCGATTATTTATCGATTTTGTTGTCGATTATTTAGCAATTTTGCTATCGATTTTGTTATGGATTTTTTATCGACTTTGTTATCGATTTTGTTATAGAGGATTTATTGATTTTGTTATCGATTTTGTTATCGATTTTGTTATGGATTTTGATATTGACCTTTTTATTGATTTGGTTGCTGATTATTTATTGATTTTGTTATCGATATTTTAATCGATTTTGTTATTGATGTTTTTATCGATTTTGTTGTCGATATTTTTATCGTTTTTCTAATCGGTTTTGCTATCAATGTTATTATCGATTGTGCTATCGAAATTTTGATCGAATTTGTTATCGATATTTTTATCGGTTTTGTTATCGATATTTTGTTGGATGTTACTGTTGATTTTGTTATCGATAGAGTATAAAGATAAAAATGAAGAGAAAGGAAAACAAAATAACATCACTGTAATTAGAACGAACAGGGGTAGAGGGATCTAGATAGAAACAAGTGAGAAAGTCTAAATTCGGGCGGAGCCGAACATTAAATACCCGGCGCATGTATTAAATATATCGTCGTTCAAAGTTCAAAACCGCGTATCAACAAAATGCTAAACCGCGTATGTGAAGTTGTAGATACTTTTTTCTAGAGCGTAAAAACACTAATATTTCAAAATGGTTCTCTTTTTTATAAAGCAATCGCATTTATGGCTAGTATATTTCAGGATGAATGGATAAGGATTGAGCCAAGAGCTTGTGTGAGCAAATCCAATTTTTGGCAGCCAATGTCAGTTACGCGGCTTTGCAGAATGACGATACGCGGTTTTGTACTTTAAACGATGATATGTTTTTTCACCATTCCGAAACCTACCGCTAGATGGTAAGCCGGGGTGTATCAATTTTGAGTAAATTAGCGTCCTTAAATTTCGAAATGTTGCAGTTTCAAGCATTTCTGAAATTTACCGTTATATGAAAAGCGGCCGTAATTTTAGTTCGATATCAATAATTTTCAACGTTTTGCTTTTATGTGGCAAGTGCAATAAAAATACCGAGTTTGGTACAAATTGGTAGAACGGTTACCGATATACATATATGTGATCATAAGTGGGCGGTGCCACCCCCATTTTCCAAAATTTTGCCATAAACGTATTTCTTGGTAAAGAATTGTTGCAAGCACAAATTTTCAATATCTCGATTCATTTTGGCTGTTACAAACAACCGTTATGTGAACAAAATTAATATACCCTTGTGCACAAGTGCGCTCGGGTATAAAAATACAAAAAATAAAACCTTAAGCAAAGGCAGATGTATGTACATATATTAGTTATAAGACAAAATAGATATATAACGTACATCTCACTTCTCCAGTGTGACCCAGGCGCACTTAATTTTTTTTCTTATCGAAATTTGCTCATTACACGTCCGCACTTTCTTTCCAGACTCCGAGATTTTACAGCACGATAAACTTACCTCAAAACGAATCCATCAGATGATGCAGTGCACTCCAACATTTTCTGCGCATCGGCTCTGAGCGCATAAATATTGCCTTTCATTTAGGAATTAAATTCCACTCCTGCAACTGTTCGAGCACATTCGCACTAACCTTGAGTCCGTCCTCGCTTTCAAACATTTTATATATTTAAAAAAAATTAAAAGTAGTAATCTTTTTTAATAATCCAAAACATTTTTTTTATATCCGCCGGAACACAAAAG